CTATATTCATGATCATTGCCTTGGATATTGTCATAGCTATGCGTTTTTCTATCAATTGCTCAACAACAACTTATTTGCCCACCGTATGCGTTATTTCAAGAGAGAACTCTCTAGTGAAAACTATGGCCCCCGGGTCCATTTTTATCATATTATTCAAATATATAAAATCAAAAATACAAAAATACCTTGATGCAATTTATTTACCTTTACTTTATTTTCCATTTTTATTTATTTTTTATACCTATCTCTATCAGATCTCATCCTTGCAAGTGACCGTGAAGAGATTGACAAACCTCTTTTTCACGTTGGGTGCAAGTATTTGTTTGTTTGTGTAGGTGCATCCATTGAAGACTTGTGTGTTTCTTTTATTAGATTGATACCTTGGTTCTTAACTGAGGGAAATACTTATCTCTACTTTACTGCATCACCCTTTTCTCTTCAAGGGAAAAACCAATGCAAGCTCAAGAAGCAGCACGCCTCCCAGATGGAACCATCCTCCTGCACCTCCTCTACGGGATTCGGTCGCGCTCCGCCCCTCCGTCGCGCCCCTCGCCGTGCTCTACCGCATCGGAAAGCCCACCTGTGCCACCCGCTGACACCGTCCCCCGTGCGAGGGAGGCCCGTCCGGGCGCGCCGACCATGCTCGCCGCCCTCGACGGCCGGGCGCCGCCACCACCGCCATCGCCGACGGCAGCGACAGCCAGGGGATCTCAGCGAGGGAGGGTTTCGACGGCTGGGGTCGAGGCCTCCGGAGCTGCCTGTGCGAGCGGCCTGAGAGGGGATAGAAAGAGAATTGAGATGCGTAAGATTTTGAGTCATGGGCCTATAGAGCCGCCTACGCGAGTGGCCCGAGATGGGATAGAAAGAGAATTGAGATGTGTATATCAGCGAGCTGCTTGATCTTTATTAAGGTTTTGAGTCATGATTATTAGGTTAGGGAAATGTGGATGGAAGGCCTCTTTTCTACAATAGTATAGCAAATTAAAAATAAGCTCACAACACAGATTATCGTTTGAGGACTGTCGCTGACACGTGGGCAGCGGGGCTGGTGCAGCCGTCTTCCGCCGGCCCTGCACTCGAGCGTGCGCGAATCTGTCAATCCCCCATGCTCCTGAGACCGGCCCTCCCCGTCGCCTTCAGTTCCACTCTCCCACTCTTCTCCCATCTCGCCGCGGTCCGCCGTCGGTGCTCAATCGCCGCCACGGGCATGGCAGGAGTCTCCGCCGCCTCTCCCGCCGCAGCACAGATCGGCAGCTTCCTCTCCAAGAAGCCCTACGCGCCGCCGTCCTGGGCCTCGCACCTCGCCCTCGCCCCTTCCCACACTTTCTCCCTTGGCCACGTAAGCTTCACCGTCTCTACCACTGGACTACCCCTACTTGCTGTAATGACTAATTGACGCGTCCCAAGCTGCTTAGATTGATTACTCAGTGACTTTGAAGCCTTTTTTATTTACTACTGTAGATATCGTCTGAAAAAGTATCAATCATGTGTAATTCATAGCTTCTTTTTTCGTACTGTATTCCAAGCAGTTCCCAACCCCGATTCACAAATGGAACCTGCCAAATCTGCCGGAGGGCACTGAAGTATGGATCAAGGTGCTGCACGAATCACACTATTCTGTATTTCTGTTCATTTTCTAGTGCCGTATAAGGGTAGAAGATAGAATGGTTAGTGGCATTTGTGTTCTGACAAGGGAGCTTTGGTGACACTGTAGCGGGACGATCTGTCCGGTATGCAGCTGAGCGGGAACAAGGTCCGGAAGCTCGAGTTTCTGTTGGCAGACGCCGTCGCACAGGGTGCGGACTGCGTTATCACTGTCGGTGGTATCCAGAGCAACCACTGCCGTGCGACGGCGGTGGCTGCCAAGTATCTCAATCTTGACTGCTATTTGATACTGCGTACTTCCAAGGTAATCTTTGTGCTTGTGAGGTGGCATTGATAGAATTCTGTGTCGTAATGCAGTTGGTTTGACCTTATTTTGGTTGGACATTTTCAGCTTCTTGTGGATCAGGACCCTGGATTGGTCGGCAATCTCCTTGTTGAGAGACTGCTAGGAGCGCACATTGATCTCGTCTCAAAAGAAGAGTACGGGAAAATTGGCAGTGTGGTATGCTCTTCTCCATGATGTATCCTGTTACTATTTTTTGGCTTTTCATATTCTGTTAGCCCATGTGTAGCCAAAGCATTGTTCATACATGAGTGTTACTTATCATCCGTGCTTGATCAATTATCTTGTTGTCAAAGAATCATCCATCAAGTTGTTCATGCAGCAGTGTTCGTTCATATTTACTAGTGTCATCTTTAACCTCCATTGAAATTATTTATGTTACTGCCTGTTCATTGTTTGCAAGTAGATAAAATGCTTTGTGGACTGCCTGTTGATACTTCCTCATTGACTTATTTTCCTTATTTCTGATTCTTTTGATTATGTTTGGAGCTTCCATATTGGTTAGGAGGTTTCTGACTACATATTGATTTGTTTTTTTTATAGGCTTTAGCTGACTTGCTTAAAAAGAGGCTTTTGGAGGAAGGACGGAAGCCATATGTAATACCTGTTGGCGGATCCAATTCTCTTGGAACTTGGTATTATCCCATATGTGATGCAAAGTGTTCAAATTACAATATCATTTTTCTTATTTTTCATGTTCATAGCATATTTTGATATTTCTTCAAGTAGTATCCACGGCTTGACATTTCTCAGTTCGCCGCGGAAGTAGTGGTTATTACTATGTTGAAACTTGAAACTGACATTAGTGTCGCAATTTTTTATGTTTGAGAATTGTCTAGACGCTGAAACTGGCAGATCTCATTTTAGCAAAAAGATCTGGGTAACGTCCAATATCATACTGTAGCTAACCACTGGAGTGTAGGATACTATGAATAGTGACTTATTGTGCTCAATCTGCAACCATAGGCTAAAGAAAATGTAGTGTACTATATCCAGAATTTGTAAAAGGGAATGGTTAATATTATAAGATCGTGTGCATCTAAAGAGAAGGTTTGGAGTTCAAACAGTTCTCATAAATTTATGCAAATAATATTCACTTCAGAAATGTCAATCCTATGTTCGTAACAAACATTGCGTCTTGCTTTTACAGGGGATATATTGAAGCAGTAAGAGAACTTGAGCAGCAAATACAGTTATCTGGCGATGTTCAGTTTGATGACATTGTTGTTGCCTGCGGCAGGTATTTCATCAGCACACACTCTTATCCTTTTATATGGAGATTGTTATGTGTGTGCACTCGCTATTGTGTCAGACCTAGATCCTGGAAGTTGTGAAACTGACATGTGAAACTGACACTTCACGACTTGATGATATTGAACTTTTTGCAGTGGTGGAACCATTGCTGGTCTTGCTTTAGGATCGAAATTGAGTAGCTTAATGGCAAAAGTATGAACTTTCTTTGGCTATTTTCTTACTCTGGTGAAGTTTAAATACTAATTATCCACTTGTAGGACAGGTCCATGCTTTCTCTGTTTGCGATGACCCTGAATACTTCTATGATTATGTTCAAGGCCTGATTGATGGACTACAATCTGGCTTGGATTCACATGATATAGTCAGCATTCAAAATGTGAGTATATTTATCTTTCAGCATTAAGCTAATTGTAAAAACAGTTTTTTTGTGGACTATAAAATATTTCAGAGCATAAACTCCAAAATCACGTCTATAGTGCTTGCTTATTCATTTCATAGTTCATCTTTGTGAGGGAACTCTACTCTGAGTCCACCCTATATGCAAGTTGGTCGATTTGTGAATATTTTGCTTGCTTGACAGGCTAAGGGCTTAGGTTATGCCATGAACACAGCTGAGGAGCTTAAGTTTGTTAAAGATATAGCTACTGCAACAGGCATTGTGCTTGATCCAGTCTACAGGTGCAATACTCTTCTTCTATATGGGATGTGACATGTGATTTAATATCATCTATGCTAGTGTTGTTAGAAATAAAAAATAAGAAATGTTTTTCTCTGTCAAGTTAAGATAATACCAGCAAATCCTTCTAACAGATTCAAATTTTTGAAGAGATTTAACATCTATCTTGCTTAATGAGGATATGTATGCTTTCTTTTTCTGCAGTGGGAAGGGAGCATATGCAATGCTGAAAGACATGGCCGATAATCCATCCAAGTGGAAAGGGCGAAAAGTCCTCTTTGTCCATACAGGCGGTCTTCTTGGGTTGTATGACAAGGTTGATCAGATGTCATCTTTGGCTGGGAGCTGGCGCAGAATGGATCTTGAAGAATCAGTCCCGCGCAAAGATGGCACTGGTAAGATGTTCTGATTGATATTCTCCAGAAACTGCTTCCATTATGGGTTAGGGTTCCAGAAATGTCATTCCATCTTAAGAGTATATGCTCTTATGTTTGTAAAAGAAAATTCAGAATAGACGGCTAGCATGGAGTAAAATGTTGATATACAAGAATAAAGTGCATCTTTCCGCCATTTGAAATTTAGCTATTTGTATTTATATTTAAATGCCATTTGTTTCTTTTTAGTGCTATGTAATCTTGTGTATATTTATATAAAAATACAGGCCTGGATATTCCAGAAAGACCTTCCTAGCAGTAGGTGCTTATGCCCGATCATTCTGATGGTATACATCAACTGCCAACTAACAGGTCCCAGCTTCTGCTGGGTTTCATTGAGAAGCAACCGAAAGAATTTTGTATATAAAAGAAACTTTCACTTTTAGATGCTCTTCAGAAACTTGAGTAACCATTCAACTTTGGTGGGCCTGCCTAGTCATTCACATAAACGAAAATAAACAACTGAACAAGTCTGTAGGCATTTTTTCTTACAAATAGTATGTAAGAAACAACAGAAATGTAGTATAACTAGAATATAACAGATGAAAACACACTGAATTTGCACTACAAGGATAGCCAGGAAATCCAAAGAGGCAAATATCACTATCCTCTTAAATAGCACCATTTGCACCTATGCTGACGGACCAATGAACACGCAAGCTAGCCCATCATTCCAGAAGTGACATCTTCAAGCAAGTGATCCATTTGGTCCGCGCACCACTGTGACGGGGCAGGTTGCATTGTTGACAACATAGTTGCTGACGCTTCCAAGGAGTGCCCTGCATCAAGGTCCAAGGAGATGTAGAAATATGAGAAAACTCTGATTAGCCATTTACTAGATCCTCATAGTTTACTCGACAAAAGTTTCAGATGTTCTACCTTTTTAAGGGCCCTAATCCCCTGCAACCAAGCACAACTGAGTCGACCTTGAGATCATCTACTGCCTCACAAAGTTTCTCCCTTGCATCACCCCAGTATATTTTTGCCAGTATTTCCACCTGATCCAACCAACATGGGATCGATCTCTAATTAGCAGCACATTTTCATTGCCTGAACTGGCCTTATGAATTCAACATAGATAATTGTATGGACAATTCAGTAGTTGATGTAGGCTATTACCTGCTTGGACTTGGACTCAGCCTGCAGGATCTCCAGCACCTCCTTGTCCGGGTTGACCCCGTACCGCGCCTGCACGTTCATCTCCATGAACTCCAGCAGAGGGATCAGAGCTTCAGTCGCAGGTAAAAACACAAACGATGGTGTCAGTTGCAATCATAGCGAAACAGAAAAGAGTCGAGTGTGCTACACAACAGAACAGAGGATTCAGTGTCTGGAGTCTGGACACATACGTGAACCGGTGCTCTTCCAGAGGCCCTTGTGGCTGGCGTCTGCTCCCTTGGGTAGGACGTGGATGAGGATGATGCGGTCGCCGGCCTTCACCAGGTTCTCGACCACCCACCTCGTCGCCGCCTTGCTGGACGGCGAGTAGTCCATCGCGAGGCCGATGGTGCGCTTCCCGGCCGCCATGTCTGCGAGAGTTTCTGGACGAAGGTGTTGAAGGAAGCTGTGAGCAAAGAGGAGGTGTTGGGAGAGGAGGCACTAACCAATGTGCAGCAGTGCTATTTCTGGGTTAAGGATTGTGCCCCAATCAGCGGTATTTAAGGTGGTTGGATTGGATGGTCTACAGCAAAATAGCCCCTGATGATCGCGAAGTTGCAGACTAGGTTGGCTTTTGGTTTTATTCGCCTTTTTGGGCAGAGGGGGGCGGGGTGGTGGCTTTATTCCTTGGAGCAAAACTGTTGCTCTGATGGATTCTTTCCTTTTTCTCACGGCTGTTGGGTCCTTGCCAGATGGGCAAAGCTATGATGGTAGATCGAGGTCCAGAAGGCTCTCCGGCTATCTGGAAAGCTCGGGAAGGGAACGGAACCGCTCCGTCCAAGTTTAGTAAAACTCCGGCTGGAAACAAATAATGTTTCCAACTGTAGTTTTCGGCCGTTTTAAATGTGGCGTAGAGGTTTTGGAGATTTTGGTGGCGTGGTTTGGAAATCTATGGGCTTTTTGCAAAAACCGGGGGCGGCCGGGCGGAGCATCGTGTTGTTTGGTTTTATTATTTTCTGCACATGCGATGCAATAGGATATAAATATTATACTATGTTCCCGTGATTAATCTTTCCATATTAATTTGATTGTATAAATAAATGTTTATCAGATCCTGCCATTAATTTACCCATCTAAATAAATCTTAGGATTTTATTGGACAATCACTTTTTTTTAGCATCAGTACAGACACAAGCGCTCATATACACGCGCATACACTCACCCCTATAAGCACCTCCGAGAGACTGAGCCGGCATATCATCTTGAGAGTTACGAAGTCACCGTAGGCGCCTCGTCGTCGACGGGAACGTCTCCTCCCATTGAAAGCGCATCGCCGGAAATCCTGAAATAAATTCAGGAATAATGCGAGCACCAGGATTTGAACCCTGGTGGGTTGGGGATACCACTATCCACCTAACCATCTCAACTGCAGGTTGGTTCGCTATTGGACAATCACTTATTTGGTAAGAACTTATTGGCTTATTAAAAAAAATAATATAAAAATGGTCAATAAAAGGTAAGACAGTTAAGATAACTTTCAAGTAAAACCGATGAAAAAAACTAGAGATGAGAGGAGGAAAAATCAAAAGAAAGAGGGAGGAGGAAACATATGTAAGGTTGGACGAACAGTTCTGCAGAAGGAACCTTGTGCATTTTCTACGGAAATCTTATCTGGCTGACGTTGCGACGTTGCTCAATCTCCATCCGATGGATGACAGCTTTCGCAATAAAAAAAGCCCCTTGAAAGAACTGCCACCCCTCACTTCTAAAAGCAATATTTTCTTGAGACAACAAAACGCAGTAAAAACTGCCACCTCCCCCGTTCGGTTGCCATGCTGGCCCTGGCGAACGTTCGCCAGGTATGCGCGTTCATTTTCTAAGTTTATAATAATAATAATGATGATGATGATGATGATGATGATGATGATGATAATAATAATATAGATATAGAGATGGAGATATAGTGATTAGATATAGAGATAAAGACATAGATATAGAGATAAAGATATAGATTTAAATATAGAGATAGAAACTAGACTAGATAGATAGTGGTGCGCATAGTGGGAAAGCTCACTAGCTTGATTTACCCTTTTGAAGCGGGTATATGCTTGGGCCAAGTGGAAAGGGCAATAGCCAATGGACGAAGAAAGCTAAAAGAAGCCTGCTTGCAAAGATCAGTGTGTGTGATTGGGATTGACGATGCTTGTGTTGATATCTAGTTGATCTAGTCTAGTAATAACTCCATGTACCAGGTGAAATCCACGGGAAAACAGGTGCTCACTTTTTCTTTACTCAGACTACGGACCCAGATGTAGTTGAATGCCACCTGCACACCCAGATGAAGAACCTTTTGAATTCATGATCATGAGTTCCATAAGCTATAGGAATTAAGAAAGCGCATTACTCATTGAGCAAAAGCAACATAGCCCGAATGGTTAGGCCATATAGGCATTTGGGGTTCGGCTCAGTTAAGCTTTTACTGCATGGGCACTGTAGCAACCGCGATCCGCGGTCCATCGCAATCCAACGGCCTCTCCTTTCTCGCCCTTAATCACGTGAAACAAACACTAAATTAACCAGAGAGCAACGACTACAGAGCCGAACACCCTTCAGCGGCAGCCAATGGATCTGACGCCCTAGCTGCCGGCCAAGTCAGTGCTCGGCTGCTCGCTGCCTCTCTCGCTAGTCGAGCACGGCCCGATCATGTCCTCATCAGATCCTAGGAGAAAGAGCCCCCCGACGGCGAGCTCCACGACCAGCAGGCAATGATTTGCTCCACGAGCCCGACGACCACGACGCGAGCTGGAGGCTCCTCCCGGCGACCTCGGCATCATCTTCTCCGACGTGTGGGAAGAGACGTCCAGGTGTTGTAGGTGTCTCTTCGCGTGGAGACTGAACACGGGTCACGCTACGACTGGCGTTGTGGCTCATGCTACCGCGGCGTGGGCGCCACTGACAACGGTGAAGCGGCTTCCCGGGCGCCAACGACGAGCTCTATTCCTTTCAATGCTATGGCCTCGTGACGCGTTAGCATATCAGGGCGGAGTACCCTATCGTCAGCCTGGATGAGCTCGATGTCCTCTGCTTCATGGTGCACAAAGAATGAATACCATACGAAGGACAAGGACGTCGATCGACGGCGATTATGCGATACGGCTGATCGAGGTCGACATGAGGCAAGTTGAGCTGCGGCCCGTCTTCTTCTAGGAGGGTGATTCCTGCTGCTCCCATGAGATCATTCCCTGCATGATCTCCCAGTCCTCTGACGAATCGACGCCTCATCTTAATGTTGATCAAATCCTGCCATTAATTTACCCATAAATCTTAGGATTTTATTTGACGATCACTTATTTGGTAAGAACTTATTGGCTTATCAAAGGAAAACATAAAATTTTTAGTCAATAAAAGGTAAGACAGTTAAGACGGCTTTCAAGTAAAACCGATGGAAAGAAAACTAGAGATGAGAGGGGGGAAATCAAAAGAATGAGGGAGGAGGAAACATATGAAAGGTTGGGCGAAGAGTTCTGCAGAAAGAACCTTGTGCATTTTCTAAGGAAATCTTATCTGGCTGGCATTGCCCAGGGATGTTTTGCCAGCAAAGCACACCCCCCCCCTCAAACCGCACGATCTCCATCCGATGAATGGCAGCTTTCGCAAAAAAAAGGCCCTTGAAGGAACTGCCACCCCTCACTCCTAAACGCAATATTTTCTTGAAACAACAAGACGCAGTAAAAACTACCACCTCCCCCATTTGGTTGCCATGCTGGCCCCGGCGAACGTTCGCCAGGTATGCGCGTTCATTTTCTAAGTTTGTAATATAATAACAATAATATAGATATAGATATAGAGATGGAGTTATAGAGATATAGATGTAGATATAGAGGCTATGCTATATCCTTGTTCTGCTTACATGCCCTGAGGAATGAAAGCGTGAAAACAAACGCAACCCCCCGCTTCGTTTAGGACGCGTTTGGTTGCCTGCATATAGGCTAATCAGGCCCACGTGGTAAGATTGTGGCCCGTTTGGTTGCCCGCGTTTACTATTGGGCCTGCGTAGCACGAAACTCAAAGCACCTTTGGGTCTGTCTTGCTAGGAACACTGGAATAGGTAGTTCCTCCAGAGGTCGGTCCGCGCGATGCACGTTGGCGGCGGGACCTGCACGCAAGGAGCCACACTCGAGAAGCCGTGTTGCTTCCCGAAGCGCCGGCACTTATTACTCTCACCGCTCCCTCTCCCATGTCCCTTCTTTCCACTCTCACTGACGACGGCGGTGGCGACGATGTTCAGCACACCAGAGAATAGCAAGGCGACCTCCGCCCCCTTCACTGGCATCCGCATCATCACCTCCGGCACTTCGACAATGGCGGTAAGCACTTTTTTCACCTCCTCACGCACTCATTCACATTTGATCTGCGTTGAGGTTCGTTCAATCCGCTTTAGGGGGATGGGGAATCGGGGTAAATAGCGATAGGAGTGATCATAACATCGTCATGAGTTCATAGTACCGATGGATTTGAGGTTCTCCGGATTGAGTACAAAGGTAATGGGGGGAGGGGGGAATGGGGGTAAATCTTACACAGTAGTCTTAGATCCTAGCTTCGGCGACCCTGGAGGTGGTTGGAGCGGCAGGTGCCCTTGGCCTTCTTCTTCTCCTCGAGCCGCACCACCGTCTCTTCTTCCTCACCGGAGTCCGGATCAATTGGCATGCTTCAGTGTCCTGGCTCCGGCGCCCTTACAACCATTGCCACCACATCTTCTTTTCCACCTCCATCGCCACCGCTTCTTGTTCCTCCTGCATCACCACCACAATCCTTGTCGTGAATTACGCTGCCGCACGATGGTCATGAGGACGCCTGTACTCTTTGTACTTGGCCCACCTTGCCCTCTGTTGAGCATCGCTGCAGTCAGCCTGATTCATGGCCCAGCGAAGGATGTCGTCTAACATAGCGCCCTTCGATAGGTCAGGAATCAACATCTTCAACTCCTTCGATGTCACCTTCTTGCGTCTAACTCCTTTTGCATGTCTGCCATGCTGCTGCAGTTCGAGTAGACGTCCATGGTGTTCTTGAACTTGGTGCGGTCACCGAGCGAGCACCCGAGGAAGAAAACCCTCCATCCAACGCCCTAAAGGAAGGGGTTGGGGATGGGGTTGGAGTTGCTACTGGAGTTCATGGCGATGGATAGGAGGAAGAGTGGTCGATCTTTTATATCAATCCAAGTGGTGAAATCGTGGTAAAGAAATCTTCATTGGAAATAGTGGTTTGGGTATACTAATCTACTTGTTACAATTGTGAATTTTGCCCATTGCTACATTCTTTTGGTTTCATTATAGGTTTTAATTTGGGTAATTCAACATAAACAATTTGGATAATCAACTAGTTATTTCTCAAGACACTCTAATCCATAGGCAATCTCATTTTCAAAGCAG